TGGTGGACCCACACCGCTGCCATACGTCAGGATATACTCATTTTATTGGCGAATAGTAAGCGTGCAGTTCGTCTGACGGCGGGTAAATTCTATGCTATGGATGTGGAGAGACTGCGGTCGGTAAGTGTTGGAAAAGTGATTTTTCCGCTGAAGTTTACAGTTAAATGGCGTTAGAGCGAAGAAAATGTATAATTTTGTTTTCGATTTTTCAGGTGGTTACTCAAGCATTTTCGTTTTTGACTCTGCTACAGAAGTTAGCGGCTAAAAATCAGAAGTGAACTATGTAGATTTTGACTCAGTAAATATTGTGTAAGTGTTTGGAAATAAATATTAGAGACCATGTTAGCGTAAGGTTTTAAAATTGAATCTCATTGCCTTAATCAGTTAGAGTCAGTTTAATGGAATGAAGTGTTTTAAGGATTCTTAGGATTAGATACAATAAGTATTGGACATATTACTTCTTGAATACTGGATCCTCTTCGCTGTGGTTGTAGACCCTTATGCCAGCATAGTAATGTCCTGTGACCGTATCCTCCATCTTAGTGTAGTCGTTGTAATTCTGGAGAATCTAAGAAAGCGGAGACCGTACGATAGACCAGTTTTCGAAGAAAGTTCATTGAAGGAAGTTTCTGGTGTGTACCAACATATTCATATTTTGTCTTCGATTACTAAACCATACAGAAACTCTCTCGGATTGCGCTTGAATACCAGTGGCTTCAAGTGTGTATCTGGCAGTTTTCTCATATCCAATATTTCATACAAGAAATGTCCCACACGATATTCTTTCTCAATAACCATCTTTAGGTTCAAGCTTTGCAAATTTACAGTTGTGTTATCATGAAGAAGAAACCAGCATTAACATTAACGGCAACTTCGAAATCCAACTCAGGATAACTCTTGCCAACAGGTGCTACTTTGGACCGAGTAGGCAGTTAAGTAAGTTAAATAAGTAAAGTTCTCTCTCGACGAACAAACATCCAACTCTATAAGACCAGCGCACAACCCTGAGTAGGGATGGTTCGCTTCCTCACTTTGGCTCGCTTTCAAACGGATGTTCTTTTTTTACCTAGAGGATACTTGGTCTAATACCGGTAGTCGTGAGCTGCTTGAGCCATATGTAAATGAATCGTTTCAGGCCACTTCCAAGCGAATGGCGATCAGAGAACTTTCCTTACTTACGTGAACTTCTACACATGACTCCATCCTCCCTAAAACTTATACTGATATAAAATGACTTTGAATGATAACGTCATCGCCATCAGAATAAGGAAGACTAGCTACGAGCAGTTCGATTCCAAAAAAGGTTTCAGACAAAGATACCCGCCATCAAGCGATTTCTTTAATCTTATGCTTGAGAAAATAGGCTGCAGAGCTGAATCGTACTAGCACAATGTTTTTCAAAGTCTTGAGTTATTGATACATGTCGGTGATATCGACATAGTTGTCCGTAGCCTTGGGTGCATCATTCTCAAGAAAAAGAAGCGAGGTAGACAGGTCTGATGGTGGATAAGACAAAGTACTATCGATTGGACAATTACTATTTCCAACCGAAATTGAAAAGTAAAAAAAAGTTCTCGCTAAATCAAATTAATGCTCTGTAAGTCACTTATAATACCCGTTCTGTTGTAAGATGTAGAAGAACGGACGAGACTAATTCTCTTCTTCTTTACTGGCGTAGACACCGTTTACGCGATTATAGCCGAGTCAACAACAGCGCGCCAGTCGTTCTTCTTTTCGCTCCGTGGCGTCAATTGGATATTCCAAGGTTCTTCTCCACTTGGTCCTTCCAACGAAGTGGAGGTCTTTCTCTTCTTCTGCTTCCCCCCTCTACGTCGAATACTTTCAGAGCTGGAGTGATTTCGTACATTCGGACTTCAAAGTTATGACTGTCAATATCGTCGGCATATGCCAGCAACTGTACACTCTTATAAAAGATTGTACCTGCCCGATTAAGTTCTGCAGCTCGAATTATTTTCTCCAGCAGCAGATTGAAGAAGTCGCACGATAGGGAATCGCCTTGTCTGAAATCTCCTTTGGTATCGAACGGTTCGGAGAGGGACTTCCCGATCCTGATTACTTTTGCGGGGATACCAAATTCAGACATCGCGGCATAAAGGCAGCCCCTTTTCGCGCTGTCGAAAACAGCTTTGAAATCGACGAAGAGGTGGTGTGTGTCGATTCTCCTTTCACGGGTCTTTTCCAAGATTTGGCATGGTGATTATCTGGTCAGTTGTTTTTCCAGGTCTAAAGCCACATTGATAAGGTCCAATCAGTTTATTGACGGTGGGCTTTAATCTTTCTTCTCTCTTCAACTTCAACTCTCGGTATCTATCCCATCCCGCACGTGTTATGGTCGATTCCAACGTTGCGAGATAGGTAGCCCGTTTTCTCTCCCCTGCGACACGGCCCTCAACGTCGTACCAGCTGTTCTTTTGCACTTTCCGAAAAGCAATGGTAAGGAGTTTGAAATGCCGACTCACAGTTCCCTTATACCGAGTTGTTGACGAGTGCTCTCAGAGAGCAGGAGTGCAAGCCGAGTAGAAAATCGTTCGGCTGCCTGTTGTGATTGCCTTTTTTGCTCCACAGAGGCGGGTGCGAATCTTGGCTGCAACAAGATAGTGGTCCGAGTTGATGTTAGGACCTCGGAGCGCACGCACATCTAAAACACTGGAGACGTGTCTTCTCGCCATCACAACATGATCGATGTGGTTGGTGGCTTTTCGATCCGGAGACAGCCCGGTAGATTGTGGTATTTTTTTTAATATTCTTAAGAAGCGTTTGAGATAAAAATTCCCCCAAGGGTTTCTTAGATCCCAAGCTAGGTTACAAGTCCGGCACCCGCTTGTAATGCTCCTTCGTACCTTTACAACACACTTGTAATCAGGAACAACAGAACGTCTTTATTCTTGGAACGTAAACGAGCAAAAGATAAATAGAAAGCACCAACAAATATAACAAAATCGAATTAAGCGAAAACTTGGAGCTTTTCGCCAAACAATTTTCATTGTAATTTAGTAAAACAAACACACACGAGAACACTTTAAACTCTCTTATCAACGTGATGAGTTTACAAAACACATAAAATGAATAAAGAAAATGTTTGAAAAAACAAAAAAACTAAACAGAAGTGAAAAGAAATATCTCCACAGAAAGGAAATAGAAACAGATTGTTACAAATTTCTTTGTACGCATTCGGAATAACTGTAAAAGTGTCGTTTGCAAAAGAATACTGAAATTCCACCTCCCAGTCCATTTGTATGCTCACCAACAGCTGTGAGCAAAAATGTAATCGAATAAAAGCCATTTAAACAAGGCAAAAAAGGTAGCAACAAAAGACGCAGAAAAAACGACAACAAATGAGCGCGGATTGTGCGTTTGCGTTGGCTGAAGCGTGGGCGCAGCACTTGTGACTTACTGGCTGAATTACTCGCATTCACGTAGATTTGGTTTTTGGTGTAGTTGGTAGGCCTGGTGGTCGTAAAAAAGTTTTCAACTCATTTGTGCTTTTCATTTCATGTTTTTGTAGAAATAAGCGAATCAGCGCGTCGGTTGCTTATGAATTGCAAAAGCGTTTTCTTCATGACATATGTGCGGTTGTGGTAAAAGTTGTCTTATCTACTCTAGTATTGTGAGTAATTTTAGTATGTTATATGTATGTGTGGGTTTTGACTTGACTGAATAGACAAATGCCAACACTTGWGAGTAAATCACAAGACAGACAGACAGGTACAAATTGCTAAACTTGATACTTTGTTGTTGTATGCAATTCATTATGTGGTTGGAGGTTTTGAAGTTTTTCACATG